AGGGAAGATATTTCAAATGGGGCGACCCATCGTACGTCATCCTATTCGTTTTGGCATTCCAGCCTATTGGAGTCTTCCAGAGGAAGCTGTTGCACCAGAAACTTTGCTTTATCGAGTAGAAAATTAATTTTGTTGGAATTTTCTGGCTGGTCTTATGAAGGATTGAGGAAACAATAGGAATGACGTATTTATGTATATATTTAGCCTAGGTTTTTTCCTCTAATTATGAATATTGTTTGATCAAATTTGCAATGTCTAATTTGTTGATGAATCCTCGCTACAACTGTTTTGCTGGGTTTGGCTTGCCTTGATAAGTAGTCCGCATAAAACTTTATTAGATTTGTTTTTCATATATATTAGTTTTTCATATATATAAATCTTGTTATGCCAAGAAAGTTAGGTAGATACATACTCAATTATTGACTCATCAGGTTCCAGAAAATTACAGATACATAAGCTATAATTATGAATATTTCTCAACAAATATGATATAATTTAAAATATCTTATTGGATGAATAAATTTTCTTTGAGCTTGATAATCTTTGATACATAAGTAGCTCACATCGGTTACATAAAGTGCTTGTGGTAAGTTCTGGGTAGGTTTGCTGGTCTGTCCTCTCAATCCGACTTGCGCCGTCTTACGATAGTGTGATGTTGGTCACCGGGATACTCTCTTCTTCTCCCTCAGTAGGGGAGGCCGTGTACTCTCAACTAACGGATCTCGATGTCCTTTGTATATGTTATAGTGTGTCATGAATGAACCCCCGTGGTTTAATGTAATGACCACATTTGCGTCCCCCACACCCACTCAAAGGTGTCCAAAAAACGCTTTCACTCCAGCTTTCACTCACTCAAATCCACGCCAAAAATCCAATTTTACTAGGAGTAATAAATTCCTTTGCAAAATGCAAAATGCAAAATTTTTGACGTTGCAAGTTTTTTTTTAATCCCGTGTATATTTAGTGGTGTCTCCGAACTCCAATTGAGCCAAGTCAACTTAATTCGAATTTCCGAGTTCGAGACCACCTTTAACTCGATTCATAATTTTCCAGACTAGTTCGAATCGAGTCAGACGGATTGACTAGAATCGAGCCACTCGATTCGTCGAATTGGAGGTGGACTGCCGAATCAAATTGAGTTGACCTCGAATTTTTTTGTATTTCAACTTGTACCATTTTTGAGTATTGCTCTGATCAAGCTGCTTCATTTTGTCCAGAATCTTCGCACATAATGCGTTAATACATAACTAATAAAACTATTGTTTTAATTCGGCAAGGTTGGTTGATTTGAAATATGCAAAATCTGAAACTTCGAGCTTTAGTTATTAAAATCCTGCAACGGTTTGATGCCGTGTCCACATTTACACCCGCCACACCCACCTAAAGGGGCAAAAAATACGATAAGAAACCCTGTTTTGGTTTATTCGAAATTTCGCCGAAAATCCCATTTTGATCGAATTTTCACAATTTAAGCCTTTTTTATGATCCAACTATCTAGGAGTATACTGGTGAATATGTTTTTGTCCCTTTTAAGTGGGCGTAGCGGACGCAAATGGGTCCATGGCATAAAACCGTTTCAGGTTTTTATTATACCCATGGGGTACTACAAGATATCAAGATATCCAGAGGGCATCCAATCCTGAGAGCGGCATGTTCTGAAGGGTACTTCCTTAGCAGTTCGGCTCCTTCCCATAACACCTTTTATATTTGCATTTGTCAAAAAATTTTTGGAAACAGGATTCAAAAATCTCATTTTTAGATATGTTTTGAAATTGCATCCAGCATTTTGGGAGATGATAATATTTGATTTACACCATAAAAGCCAACAGCCTTTGCACATTCATGAATGATCACAAATTATTGATAATCGTAAAATCGTATAATTTTATGAGAGTAGACTTACTACTGGAAAGGTCAATTATATCTAGTGTAAACCAAGGCGCCTACCGGCGCCCCCCTGGGATCTGCCGCCCCAGGCAACTGCCCGGGTTGCCCGCCCCAAAATCGGGGCCTGAGTAAGTCACAATTCCTGTAATTATCTTGAACATGTTTAATTACATGAACATGAAATTACATGTTTAGTAACTACACACTTTCATTGGTACATATGTATGTACTTTACATACACATCTAAAGCTTACAGTTATGACAAGCCTCACACTTAATTCCAAAACGAAATTTCCTACATGAATTGGATCCAGTGAAATAAATTTGCTATCCTGCAAAAAAGTCATTGGGTGTTTCAAGTTTTCAAAATTTTTAAATTTTGCAAACTTATCTGTGCATGTAGATACCTTGCTGAAATTTCGCATTGAGTTTGACACACTTGAAATGTTCCCAACAAGAGAATCGTTTCTCCCCAACAAATCTTCAAACTTCCTAAATTTCACCAATTTACAAAACAATTTAGTCCTATTTTCCAGCACGCTGGCATTATTCGCCATCCAGTAAAAATAACTCGTAAAGACGACCACTTGCACCGAAAATATTGCACTCAAGACATAATTCTTTATCCAAATCGTCATAATGAAGTAGTACGAACAAAATAATAAATATCCTACGGCATAACTTACAAAGGTGTTTAACTGTATGGCAAAAATTGTGCTAAATTCGGACACATTTGGATCTAATTTAAAATATAAATCCATAATTTGTTCGATATTTGTATCACTTTTTTCCTCTATAACTTCAACCAGTCGGGTCGCAAAAAATGCGAAATTCTCCACAAAATATATTGCACCATGAAGTCCTCAACTCATGAAGAAAAAATGTGCCAAGAAACCGACGTCTTGCAAAAGACCCAGAATATTTATATTCACAGAGGAATCTTCCCCTGCCTTAACCGCATAATTTGTGGAGCTTACATGCGCCACAAACAGGACGACCATTAAAATAGAGGTCACGATTAAATGGATGACAAATTTGGTTTCTAAATTTTTACTATGCTTTTCAAAATTATACTTTTTTGACACGTGCAAATTTTCCAGGATGGCTGTCAAATAAATGAAATTTGTCCAAAACTCCGAGATTTTGTGTCTTATCGAAACCAAACGTATCCGCATAATGACCGGACACAAAGTAGTGCATGCATTCCACCCCAAGCTAATTAAGTAATACGTGTTTCGCCCCTTCCAGACAAATGTGTCGTCGTACTATCACTGGATTCTATCATAAGTCGGAACACAGTCGGAAGGATTGAACTCAGGAAAAGAATAATCAACCAAATTGTTGAAGGTGAATGACACCAAGATTTGGAGTAGATTTGGAGGGGTGAAAATTCTGGGGAAATTGATAATGGAAAGAAACCACAAAATTGCAAAATTCGGAAAGGAGATTTTGCAATATTTAAGAGATGTTGGGATTCAGATGGGAATGGTTTCACTCCCATTGAGGGCTTAAAAAAGTCCATTTTTGGATTTAATAAAGTAATGAAAATTCCTGAAATATTGAGTTCCACGAGGAGGTAGGTATCTTTATGATGTTTCCTGTAAATTCTGAGTATTTATTAAAGCACACATATTTACGAAGGTACTAATTAATTGCTTTTTTAAGACAAAGGAATTTTTTGGTGGAACTTACCACGGGAAATTGGTAAGTTCGTTTAGCTTAATGTCGTGGAGCAAATTTGACCTTAATTTTTGCAGTGGTAGACCAATTTACTAATTAGTTAGCTTATAGGCCAATGGCAAATATCATATTAACAAGGTGCACAACATGTGTGCATGCATAGGTGTGTACGTATGTAGTTATCGTATGTACATGCATAGTGCACTCACGCATAATAATTATTTATTTCAAATTTTTCATAAATTGAATAATTAAAATAATTTTCCTTATTTTGGATAATTAAGTATGCAATTAAGTCAGCGTTCATATTCAACGCCACATTATATTTATGCATGTATAATACATAATGTATTTGACGTGCGTATGTAGTATGTAAATACTGGTTGGGAGTGACAACTTGGCATTACTTGTTTTTAAAAACGATAGAATTTTTTTCATTTACCGTCACGTACATATATATGAAGTGACCTATGAATTAAGTAAGGAATAATTAATATATTTGTCATAAACTGAAAAGTTCTTCATGAAATGCATATGAATGTACACAAATTCATGCACGTGCATACATATGTACACTCCAAAAGTTGAGCAGACAAAGAAGGTTGAAGCGCAATTTCCTTTTCTGCCTGAAGTAACACCACCACCATGTGTTGGTGGTGGTAGCATCTCGTCCCTCACTTGTAGGAAACTAGAGGGGAGCCGGGCCGAGATTCTTACAATATGTTGAAACAAAATGTTTATGCAAAATATTTATAAAGTATTTTATGTTTACGCCAGTGACGTGTAATGCAAATGTTATTATGTCGCAGTGGGTTGATGTGTTCATTAAGGTCCGGGTTCCAGTTCTAAAAGCCCGAATAAAATTTGGTCCGGTTCAGGGTATGCCGACCTGGGTTCTATTGAGTTCCAAATTATTTAAACCCAATGGGAATAAAGGCAAAGTGGGCTTAATTTGAGTTTAATTTGATCTAATTCATATTTTTCATAGTCAACATTAAATTATAGTAAGAACCAATTCGTCGCGGAAAATTATTGTTATTATTATCACCTACATAACCTTATTATTATAAGTAAAAAATAATATAAGTTAAATAATTATAAGTTAAAAATTATTATTTTAACCTACATAATCTTTTATATGCTAAAACAGGAACTAGATACGGTTGCATGTAAATTTGCAATAACAACAAACTATTTTTCTTGGCATTCTTGATAAAACGAAATAAATTCCACTGAAACCCCAAAAAAACTTAATAAAACAAACGAAAACCATAAAACAAATTTAAACAAGTGACCCATAATTTTTTATATATCACTCTGGGCTATTCCGAATCTTGGTTCTGGTACGGGTAGAAATTATCGAGTTTGGGTTCAGGTTCCGTCTCAAGTTACAACCCGTGCGCAACTCTACCAAACATAAAATCTAACGGCCAACCACCGAAACACTTCCCTTTCTTTCCTCTCTGCTGTCAGTTGGATTCCCTCCTGAATTAAATATTAATAATTGGTTAATTCCTCCTAAAATAATTTGCGAGTGAAAATGGGTAAAACTAAGGACCCTGACGCACCAAAGCGCCCCCTCAGCGCTTTTTTTCTATTTTCGGGTGAAATGAGGCCTAAGATTCGCCAAGAAAATCCCGGCCTTAGTTTGGGCGAAATGGGGAAGGAGTTGGGGAGACGTTGGGCCTCAATTGACGCCGCCTCCAAGAAAAAGTACGAAAAGGCTGCCGCTGCTGCAAAGGAGGAGTACCAGAAGGTCAGATATTTAATTATTGTTTTTGAAATACTAAAAGATAAATTAATCATTGGTTGTTTAAATTTACTACAATTCTTTCCGTTTCTGTTGTTCCTAGAAAATGGCCAAGTACAAGGGAGAGCCGGCTGCGAAGGGGAAAAAGAAGAATTGAAGAACTGACGACTGCATAATTGATGGACAAATTGTTGTCTACCTCATTTAATTCCATTTTCTCATCTGTAGAACTAAATATCAAGATAATGTTTGTTGTGGTTTCTTAATTTTTTGTGTCTAATTTTTTTATATGCAATTTTGAATTGGTATGGATTAAATGAGTTTGAATTTTGTAGTCCGCTCTGGTTAATTCTTATTGGGCCGTCCATTCTCGAACTATAGTCACGAGCGAATACATATACTGCAATATTTTTTATCTGATTTTAAATTTTGTTCAATATTTAAGTTTTTTGTAGCAATAATTTATTTTATCCTGTTTAATTTTTAGTAAATCCTAGGTGGAGACGATTGAAAAGTAATTTTAATAATAAGGACTATTGAAATCAAGAGAGGAATGTACAGACTCCAGAACAACGGGAACTTGCGAAAGCGTGAGATTGTATTTGGGTGGGGAGAGGATCTGGTTTGTATATAAGAAACGGAGGAAGGGGGTAATGATCTCTGAATTTGCAAAATTTTAGCATTGTAGGCTTACTAGGATGTGAAAGCCACCCAACTTTCATCATAAAGACGACAATGACGAAACTCCTTCCATATCGACATTACAGCTACCTCTATGTGTACAATGCTGAAATAAATATATGTGCATTTTGGAAATATATAAATTACCAACATCTCGATTTCTTAGAGAATCATGGTGGATTAAAGTTTTTAATTTTTAACAAACTGAGGTAAAATTAATAAAGTGTCCGCCACCCTAAAAAGGGCGACCGTATAAAATTTCTGACAGTGGAAGTTCTGACGACAATAATTTTGTTTGAATAAATATAATTTGTGGTTGTAACCACTGCAGTTGCAAGAATCACTTTTAGATAACAATTAAGTAAAATATCCATCAGTATCCGGTATGAGAAAAACTCAAAATTTGCCAAAAATTCGCACATTTTGGCTTAGATCTCGAAAACTGCAAAACCGATTTTAAGGTTTTGAAGCCGAGCTTGCACCAAATTTTTGAAATCTTTTGGTCCCGACTGCACCCCCTAAGTACGAGCACATGAATGGAAAATGAAATTTCATTGTACTTGAATGGTAGAGAACACTAATATTTCTCTCGCCTCCTTGTTTGCTCCACAGTTTAATAATTCGGCGCCCCAATTAGAGAGTACACAGGGGACTTTTTTTCCGAGATATATCTCATCAAATTTTTTTTTAATTTTCAGTTTTTCCAACTTTCGAGCTATTTTGCATACTTTGTGAGTCAATCTGTCCTTTTATTTTACAAAAATGACTTCCACATGATTTTCCACAGCGAGGCGGTTTTCTCGCAAACTTTCGATTTGCAGGGTACCAAATCCTGCTTTAGATAGATGTTGGGTCCATTTACGAGAAGCTTACCTAGCTTACTGACGGAGAAAGACCACCATAATAAGGGAGGAAGACCACCCGATGACGAATCAATCTGGCGGAAGTGGTTTCACGTTTTAGAATTTTCAAGAGATTTATTTCATAAAAAATGTACATGTGTGGAAAATAATTTGAGAAAAAGTATAGTCAAGAGATTTATAGCTGCCAATAGACAAAGTAGAATACTAATGTGTCTGTATCGTAAATATGTGTTTTGAGACCGTTCCAAACCGTTCCATCACCATAAAAGGTGATGGAACGGTTTGAGCTTTCAGTAGATTTTGACATATTTTAGTGATTTAGGTACCTGCTTATAAAATAGATAAAAAAAGTGAGAAACTGATTATGAATTGTTGACGATTTTATTCGTGACGAGTTAAGACAAAATCGTACCCTGTGCTTTCGTCCATCAAAAAGATGGGCATGGATGAAGACACAATTACACGGGAGCCTTGTCATGCTAAATTGTATTTTTATTCTTCACTTGTACACAAACAGGTTACAGGTTGCTCACTACTTGATCTCCAAAGTATTGTTCCCCTTTTTACGTACTAACTTTTATCTACTTAACATCTACTAAATTTTGTTATATAATTTTTAACTCTATTTTCAATACTAGTCCCACGATTTATTTGCAATTGGACATATTGGCGTTGTCATGACAAAATACAGTTTGTTCTTCATAGAAATATCCTAATTCGCACATTGCCAGGATGAGATTTCTTTATATTTTATATTTAATTTGATTCATGTTTTTCTATTCTTTTTTAATTTTTATGCATGTCTTCCTTCCATGGACTACCTTTTGCTATTTTATTATTATTTCATATTACATTGGTAATCGGCTGTGTACTTTTGGCTAATCAATTTGTAGATGTGTTTGCCCTCAAAGTTCCAAATTTTAGTTAAATTACCTCGTCATACAAAAATACGACTGGCATTGCCACTAATTATGTATCCCGCTGTTATGTAGTTAATCCACTTTTCTGCTATGTAATACTTAAGACACAAACCTTGTTCCTCATTTCTTGCCTAATTTTTAGAATTAAATTGAACCCTCTACCTAATTCGGACATTATCAAGCTTTGTTGCATTATCGCTACATTGTTATCTAAACCCGCAATTCACATAATTCAAAAATTTTTACCTTTCAAATTGCAAAACGACTATACAATTTATATGAACGTGTCAACCCATTGTTAATTAATTTTCTAAGAATTTTTCCTACTCACAAGGGAAGGTCCCCGACTGCTTATCGTGTCCAGGGTACCCACCATGTTTTTTAGAATCTACTAGGACCCTAGACGAATGATCCATTCATATTTCCGTGTTAATCGCATATTTGGCGCCATGGCGTGGCGCCAAACTTAAAAATCTGCGTTTTCGACCAATTTCAAACCTCCAGAACTTTTGCAGTTTCCGGAGGATTTGCAAAATTTTGGGCTTAAAATGACCACAAAGGTCAAAATTTTTAGAAATAAATAAAAAACGAAATATTTTTATTTTTTGATATTTTTTCGGCGAATCCCCAAGCGTAAGAAAATTCCAAAATTTTGACAAAAATTGAAACAATAAATTTTTTGAAAATTTTCATGGTATACGAAAGTTGAACTCTTTTTAATGATTTTTGGAAATTTTTTTGAAAATCCGCCCAGGATTTCAAAAGTTATGGCGGTTTCAAAAATAAAAACATACAAATTTGGCGAATTTGGCGCCACGCCATGGCGCCAAATATGCGATTAACACGGAAATATGAATGGATCCTTCGTCTAGGGTATTGGTAGATTCTAAAAAACATAGTGGGTACCCTGGACACGATAAGCAGTCGGGGACCTTCCCTTGTCAGTCACTACTGCTAATCCTTGAAATAAAATGTTGTGAGCAAGTTGATGGAGATGATAATGGGTGGATACACAGATAGAAATACATACGACCGAAGTGTGGAATACCTGTAGTGAGCTATGAAGATTTTTGTTGATGACTAGGATACAACGACTTTTTTTAAGTTAAGAGACTTTGGAAGCTTTCAGAAACTCGTCTGGATCTATGAGAGTGTGCCACTGAACTATTGGACGACGAGGAGTGTTGACCATCTCCATCCAGTGTTGGAGCCCTTGCAGAATTACAATTACTTTATAAGGAGCCTAATTTTGGGAAATATAATAATTATGCAAATTCGCGCATATGTACCTTTCCCTTCCTGCTTGGGTCCAACTGCCACCTTTCCGATAGGGTCACAAGTCCCGATGCGGTCGTAATCCAAGCACGTCAAGATCAAATGGGCGTTGGGAAGCTGTTCAGGTTTGAGTTCGAAGGTAAATCTGCATGTGAAAAGAAATCAAATCGGAAAAAAGTGCATTAATGACGAAGCATCAAGTCATAAACAAACTAATATCAGTCCCATCAGAGATCGGATTGTAACCATTGTAAGTCTAACACACCACTTTTCAACAATCTAAATCTAACCGTCACTTTGCCACGATTATGCCGAGAGCGAAAACCTAACGCAATATTTCTTCACCGCGATAGACAAAAATACAGGGAAAAATGACAACGATTAAAACTTACGATTCATTAAAATACGGATTTAGTGTGTTCTTTTTCACCGAAGTCTTCTTCTTGGTGAGCTTTTTCCCGTTCAGGAATAAATTAATTTTGACAAATGGATCCTGTTAGACAGGTTCGCATAAAAGTTCGGTGAACAATTAGGCCACGTCAGGCGGACTCACGGCAACTTCGCATCGCAACATAATTTGCAGAGATTTTGCAAAAATTGTACTGTATGTATTTGAGTTTATTAGAACTTTTTCGGGCGTAACGCCCATAAACTTACAAACATATAATCCTCTGCACGCTTTAACAATATAACGGGTTACATTGCTTCAAATTCCAAATAATTACGTAAAGGTCGAAACATTATAACACAACTGTGACTTTTCAATGTGACAATATTATATCATGTAGCTTCAAATTAGGTACTGGCAAAAATTTTACTGTAAAACCGTGGGTTTTTTTGTTAGCAAATTTACTATCCTACTTAAGTTTTTAAATATTTGGCAAAATACCCTTTCGAAACTTGTAACGATGCGAAATACAATGTTGTCGTGAGTCCCCCCAGTATCTACATATTGCTTACAGATAATCCACCAAAGTCCATCTTTCTCAAGTTTTTGCATTCCAAAATGCACACTGAAAATATTTAAATTGATACATTTATATGAATACCATAACGAAACGTTTAATTAATATTGGTACCCGTAAATTTTCCAGAAGTTGGGACGTATCGTAGTGAAAAGCACACGTCTCCAGGTGACTCCTAAATAAGTAAACAAGACAATGAAAATCAAACCTGGTAAAATTACTTCAACCTCGAATTTCAATTATTAATGCGAGATATTTAAAATTTGAATTACGTTAAATTTTTTCAAGCACTTCCAGTTACATATTACATCCAATTTTTTAAAGTAATTGAAATTACAAATTACGTCATTGCATTATAGGAGAAATTATTTCATCTTAAAGTTCCCTACTTGTTGACGATCAATAATTTTTTAAGTACGATTTCTCAGCTTACATGATTTTTATGTTTTCAACAAAATGACCCAGGAATGTAAAAAACCCCAATTATAATTAACAAATACATTCAATTATGTAAAGCAACTCAATTTCAAATTACAATTATTAATTGGTAATTGAATTGCAAATTACTTTAAACAATTAGTGGTAATTTGTCACGCCTGATTAGTAATTTCGGACAAAATCATAGAAATCTGGCGAGAAACAAGATCCCTCAGACTTTTTCACATTATCAAACAGTGGTTAAGTTAGGTAACCATTAGGTTAGTTAACCATTCATGTTAAGAAACGACAATATTTTTTTTATTACCTCCGTATCATCGGGTGGGTCCAAATCCTTCCATCCTTCCTGAATTGGCATTAATTTACAATTCCAAAACAAACAAGTTGCACACATAAAATAATGTTCCCTACCCAACAAACTGCCAAATCAATTTGACACATTGGCAAACGCATCTCTCCAATCTGATCATGTTTCCCAAATCTGGGAGAAAGTCAAAAACACAAAGTTTTAAATAGGTATTCCAGAAATTGAAAGTATCTTCCCTACCTGTCAAAATCAAAGCATTGAATCATCAACGTCTTTGCCATCATATCCCCAAAAGGAATGTTTTTGAAGACAAATGTCTCATTGAAAGTGGGATTCTGCAATAAAATTGGGGCAAAATAAACAATAA